AATCTTTTGGTTTCTCTACCTGTAGAATGTTTAGTCTCATCCCTCTCTGTTTATGCTTCCAGGTCAATTTGCCTGTCTTTCTGATTCTTTTTTTTTTTTAATGTCAAATTCTGTGTATGTCTTTAAAATAATTTTTGTTTTACAAAACCAATTCAAAATAAAAGGAAGGAAACAATACCAAAGATGGCAGGTACCTAAATACCTGGTTGCATTTTTTTAAATCCTGAGTTTGTTTTTCATTAGTGCTATGAAGACATAGGTCCTTCTAACAGAGCCCATCCTGAGATTTCATGTTCTTTGGGACAGGTCCCTTTGAACTGGCCAACCATGTTAAACCTACTGCTGATCTAGATGCAACTGCTCAAAAGAAAGGAAGTTTGTGAACAGAGGCCTCTGAAATCATGTCCAAAATGAAAGAATGGATCAGAAGGAAGGTCACTTGTGAGGAGAGCAGGACCTGTCACACATACAGCCTGGGGTGTAAAGGCAACTGGGCTTCTGACCACTGTCTCCAACAGGAGTGGGAGGCTGAAATCACAGCAGTAACACCGAGGTTAGGAGAGTGTGATGTTAAGCGATGTTTTCCGCTAGGCATCTGAGAAGCTGCGTGGCTCCAGGAGCCTCCTCTAGTCTCCACTCCCTCCCAGCACCTTAAGAATTCCTGCTTCAGGGATGGGGGACGCAGCTCCGCGGTACGGTCACAGTGCTTAGCTTGAGCAAGCATGAGCACCAGGGGGGAAAAAAAAAAGGAGAGGGTTGATGGAGATTAGGTGTGGTATGGCAGAAATCATAAGGGTAAAAGGAGCCGCGAGGGCTCAGGAAGAGACAGGGGCGGTGTACAGAGGACTTTGTATTTTCTAGCATACTGTTCGCCTCTGGGAAGTGACCAAACCCTAATGGCGACCCCAGCAGGCACTGTTCTAATGGAACGACGTGCAGGAGGAGGGGCAAAAAGCGGCCCATCGCCAGAGCCGAGACCACCGCTGCTCTGCCATCCTCCTTCCCTCAGGACCGAGCTGATGGTTAGGAGCCGCTCTCTTGGCACCAAAAGGTGAACAAATCCTAGTTTCAAAAGGAGACTTAATAGTTTTGAAAGCTCTAAAACTTGTGTACCTACAGACATGAATAAGGATACAAGTTTATATAACTTCAGTAGATATAAAATACTTGCTAATTTTCCAAATGGTAGTCCCATTTCACAATCAATACTGGCATAAGCAAGTTTTCTTTATAGTAAAGGAGATAGGGCCCCTGTGCTGTCAGGCAGCAGTACCTCAATGACAATACAGAAGTTGGAAGACAGGAAAGTATACTGCCTTTATTTTGAAAATAGTGGAGTGCAACCTATAAATCTTGATGTCCAAAATGGTCTCTGGGAAGCTGAGATCATTTTCCTTTAGACAGTCATCTGATGCAAATTATCTTTTGATAACTGGATGGGTTGTAGATAAAACAGACACCATGTACCCTAGGAACCTTGTTGTGTCTAGTGAAGAAGCTAGATTAGTCATTTTCAGAACTGACCACAGTACACCCACTTAAAACTCCAGAGAGTTAACTTGTGGGAACTATGACACAGGTGTTGATGATCAAGTGCAGTGTTTCTGTTGTGGAAAATAACTGGGAAATTGGGAAACTTGTTATTGTGCCTGGTCAGAAGGCAGAAGACACTTCCTAACTGCTTCATTTGGAACTGATGTGAGTTCTAATAGGAATTCCCCAACTTCAACAAATCCTACAAAAAATCCAGCCATAGCAGAGTATGAAGCATGGATCAATTACTATTGCAACTTGGATAAACTCAGTTAACAAAGAGCAATTTGCAAGTGCTGAATTTTATGTTTAAGTGTAGATGATAAAGTAAAGTGCATTCACTGTGGCAGACTGATTGGAAATCCAGAGAAGACCTTTGGAATATAAATGTTACACAGGGTAAGAATGTATAAACAATGTTCATAACACATTCAATTGAGGAGTCAGGTAAAAACTAAAAGAATCAATGATACCATCTTTCAGCATCCTAAGGCTCCAGAATCCTATGGTATCAGAATGGGATTCAACTTGAAGGACATAAAAAAAAATGAAGAAAAATTCAGACATCTAGGAGTGACTTTAAATCACTTGAGATTCTGGCTGCACATCTAGTGAATAGTCAGGCAGTAAAGATGAACCAATCGGCTTCATGCAGAAACAGATCAGTACTAAAGAGCTACTAAGGTGCCTGTGAGAAGCTTTGCAAATCTGCACGGGTGGAAATACTGCTGTAGTGTTTATTCTCGTGGACATCTAGTCACTTGTAAACAATGTGGTGAAGCGGGTGACAAATGTCTCTTATACTGCAGTCATCACTTACAAACAAAATTTTATGTCCTCTTCTCCTCCACAGTAGGCATATTGTGTTCTTGTTACCCTGACTCAAGGTGTGATGTGATGAATTTTGTAAGTAGTCAACACTTAGTTCTATCAACACTTGATAGAACTTGATACCAAGTTGAAACGTGCAACTGCAGACATAGTTAGCAGTCTACACTTTTGAATTTCTGGATTTTTTCAGATTACATGTGTTATTTATCCAATACTTACTGGTATTCGACTAAAACCCGTGACAAAGAAGCATTATAACTGATCACAATGTGTATTTGCAGTGCATTTATTTTCTAAGTGTAAATGAATTAATAATCTGAATTTTTCATTTTCAGATAAACTTATCAGCATTCTAATAAATACGGACATTACTCTCCCCAATCGCATCACCTGTTTTGTATAGAAAAGAAATGAACTGTTCCACACTGGGGGAAAAGATAATTTTCAGATGTTTGTATTTTAAGATTGTTTTCTTTTAGAAACATACTTGGGTGATTTTTAAAAAGTGATTTTGCATTTCTAAAAGTATATTTAAAAATAGACTACCATGCACCGATGTGGAAAGATGTCAAAGATATATTAAGTGTAAAATGCAAACAGCAAAATGCTATATAGCCAAGCACAGTGGTGCTAGACAGGTGCTCTTAACGTTTGAGCTACTCCATCAGCCCAGTTTTTCTAATTCAAGAAGGCAGGACACTTAACCTTTTTGATGGCAATGTAAAATTTGAATGTTCATTTTCCAACATGTAGGCCATGTCTTCTTGTTTCAAAATAAAGGTTTCTATTTTTGAAAAAGTTTAGAGGAAGGATGGATGAAATGAAGGAGCAGCTGAGGAACGGCCATGCTCCTTTGCCCCATATTAGTTCTAAGACATTCCTCATTTTGACACCCCTTTCCTGCCAACTATATTTGAACAGATAAACCTTTTCATACTTTACAGTGAATGCCACCTACTTGCCCTAGTGAATGAGAAACCAAAACTGCCCAATACTCTTCAATCTCAATGGAGTTCTCTCACAGGGAAAGCAGAAGCATCCAGCAGCGCTGCACTGCCTCTAGACTGAACCCTCACCACCTTTCAGACTTCTCTCACTCTGACCCCTAATCCTCTATAAAGACATTCACTTTACATCATCCACCAAAACTCCTCATATGGCCTAATTCCCACTTTCATTTGTGAGATTTTAGTGTTTTAGATAATCTGAGGGAATTTATCTACCAAATCCAGACACTCTTCCTTCAGATTGGAATACTAAGTTCCAGAGATGTGATTCATCCACATGCACACAGTCCATCATAGAAGAGGCAGGGCAGGTGTAACATTTTTTTGGACAGCATGGGTCAGTGTTGAAAACACTTAGGTTCATGAGTCAACAAATGTTTACTAAATATTTAGAATGAGGATGATCATGTATAACCTGGACTACCCAACTCAGTCCTGGGTTATACCTGACCCCTTTCAAACTCAACTCTCCTAATTTAGACCTTATATCATATAGTCACTGTACATACAGGAGACAACCATCTGCAATACCAAGCTAGTGTTTCAGTAAATCAGAAGAGCCATGGAGAATTTAAGGTAATGGGGATTCATTCATATTGGACTGAGTGCTCGAAAACCTGAAGATACTTGATTAAAAGTCCACATGAGCCAGGCATGGTAATGCGTACCTGTAATCTCAGCAATCCAGAGGCTGAGGCAGGGGCATTGTAACTTTTGAGGCCAGACCCTGCCTCAAAAACAAACAGAACATCCACAAGTTGAGCCTCAAACCACAGGCAATAATTTGTGTCAAGGGTAACAGAAGTATAAATCCTGTGACTTGGGCCCTAAGACCACCAAAATGGTAGATGAGAACCAGGAGGCCCTGGCCAGATAAGCTCAGGACAAATTTTATAAGAATGGGCAATGGAGTCAGGGAACCACAAGACAGTAGAAGGGGGATTTCCTGACACCATCTCTCCAATTTGAGACCAATGGACTGGTTCGGAGCTTCAGATGGCAAGGCCCTCCTAAAAGCCCCTTTCTCTTTCCTAGCTTCCTAGATCTTTCCTTGACTGCAGCCATCTTTAGTCATTTTTTACTGGCCAGGATCAACTGTTTCCTAGGCATGAAAGCCCTACTCATGGTTTTTGGTATTTTTACCAATCCCCACCACAATGTTTTGACACTGGAATATCCTAGTTAATATCTAATAAACTACACACATCCATTTGCCAGCCAGTGAAATAATCCTCATTTCCTCCTTCCGGGGCATGAACACAACAGTGAAGCCTGGGGCTTAGGAACAGTGGGTGAGGAAATTATGAAAAGAAGCTGTGGAAATGAACTGGTAGGACACTGGAGAGGATGATGAACTCTGAGAACAGGGTGTATCAATAGCTACCAATACCTTATTTCAAAAAACCAAGACCACCCAAGACTTGATTCAGCTCTTACCCACAGTGAACAACTCCAAGAAGCAAGAGTCCTGTGAAAAGACAGGTAGGGTTCTATTCAGGTGTATACGCTTCCCTATCTCTCCAAAGACCAGTTTCTCAGGCCTCTCTGAAGTATGGATGAGCTGAAGGACAAACAATTCAACACTGTGCTCTGCATAATACACTCCAATCAATCTCTGGAGGCTGCTGTCACTGCCTACACATGACTTTGACAGCCCACAAACATACTCCCTCCACATGCACAAGGAATTATGAGTGTTTACAGCAGGTGGGTTGAAGTTGCTGGGTGTGTCAAAAATCACATCAAGACAAGGGAAATAGAATAATTTTATAAAGTTTCCATATCTAGCACAAGATGGGAGAGGACTCAGGTTAAGCATCCTGAAGCTGTAAGTGGTAACAAGAATCACCGTGGCCAACATCCACTGATGTAGCATTATGCTATGCACATCTACATTGTTCCATTTTATAGGTGATAAAACTAAAGTCTAGAGATGTTTGAGATTTCCCCTGGAGACATGAAGATGTGATTTGGGTACTGTGTATACCATATCCTGACCTCCTAATGACTGTGCTGTGTAGGTTTGGATTGGGGAAAGGATGACAAGGCAAAAGCACCTTCACTGATTACCAATCAGTGCAAGGAATGTGCTGGACATATGGGAGACTGAGACCCTGCCCCAGCCCCTCAATGGGGAAGACACAGTACAGAACTCATTACCACCTGAAGTGAATGTGACATGAAATGGGGGATGACACCCCACACAAATGGGCGTGCGCCTGGTCTGAGATGTACAAACCACCACTGCCAGCATGAGAAGAGCACCTTTGCTGTTTTCTTTTCTTCTACTTGAAAAAAATGCCATTTGTTCTAACCTTCCTGGTCTCTCTCCACCTTTGCCTTATCTGGTAGCTGATTTTGCAAAGAGAAACAGAGTGGGCACAGCCCAACAGGAGGGTTCCAGACACCAGCTCCTGCCTGTCAGGGACCAGATGGTATCATCTCAGAAAGCCCATTCATGAGGACAAGTTACACGTAAAAATTTGCTGAGCAAGTAGACTTTAGGTGCTCTTACCACAAAAAGAGAGGAAATAACTATTTAAAAAATACTGATATGCTTTAGTAACTATTTCATTACATAGAAGAAAACGTTTTACACCTTTATTACATATCATTCACTCAAAGCTATGCATTCTCATAGCAGTTTGTGAGGGTTTTTTTGTTTGTTTTTGTAGTACTAGGGTTTGAACCAGGACCTCATGCTTATTAGGCAGGATACTACCATTTGAGCCACGCCACCAGCCCTGATAGCAGCTTTGCTAGTAATAAAAGGAAGTATTTTGGCACCCATCTGCCATGGCAGGGAAGGTAGTCTCAAAGATCTGGACAGTACCTGTTAAAAGAGTACAGTGAATGGTGAGTATGTACCGGCTCCTGATGGCACCTCTTGTATCCAGTGTTGCCAGGATCACTGCTCTGTTTATGTCTCTCCAATTTTTGGCCTTCACCCTTCCCCTTTGTGGCCTCCAAACCACCCTCTTCACTGGTAGGGCCTTCTTCTCTTGGCTGACTCCACTTCAATACAGCTCTAAAGGCAGGCACACCTCAGGTATGGCTGAGGCCCAGAAAGTCTTTTGGTCTTCACCTTTGAGGCTCCAAGGAATCATCAAACTGATTCCACCAGATATTTTATAGGCATCTCCCACCTGTGGGTCCAAACATACTCAGTCCCCTTCCACCCCACAACCAGACACACTCCAATTTGGGAAGCACCTTCCATCTGTTATATTTTAATTTCAGATACACGATAACTCTTAATGTGTCCTAAATGCTGCAGGGGACAAAAATCACTGTCTACTATAAATTCAAGTAAGTGGGCACATTGTGTATTTATCTGATAAATCCAGTTAATACCTACTTTTATCCCTCCCCTTCCTTCATGCTCAAGTCCAGGTTCCTACACACTGACACTCTCATCTCTTGGTTTGAAAACAGTGCCCACTCCACCATGTAAGCCTCTCTGGCACCTACCACCTCCAAAGCTCAGCCTCAAGGGCACTCACTCCTCAGGTTAGTCTATACTTGCCTTGTGTGTGACCACCCAAGAACAAGCACTTCATCTCCCTCCTCTTCTCCCATAGTCTACAGCTTGCTCCATCTGACATCTGATCCATTATCTCCCCTCCCTGACCCCATCATCTAAAAAAGTCCCTCACTTCCATTTGTTTTCCTCCCCCACTTCAACCTTACCCCTTTCTCTTCCTTTCTGCAACAGGGACAGTAAACATTACTGTTACATAAACTATTTTATTTAAATAAAACCAGGACTGACCCTTTCCCACACATATCAAAACACTCACACATGCATAACCATGGCCTCCCTCCCTTTTTCCTCTCCACTCATGGCCCCTCAAACCCCAGAGGTTCTCATTGTGACCATACTCCTTCAGTTTGAAAACGAGGAGACACCTGTGCTGGATGTGGAGGCCCACTCCTCACCCAGTTGCTGGCAGCAATGCACAGCCCTAGGCAAGAGCTATTTGTCCTCCTGGAATAAGACAGGGGGATCAGTTCTCCCAAGGCATCCACATCTGGTGTGGCTTCCATACACACAGTCGAGGAGCACCACCAGGCACCTGAAGCTGCTACGAGGGTTGGGATCCCTTACCCCAGGTCAACTCCTGCCCTATTCAGGGGGAGGAGGAGCAAGAGAGCTTGAGCACTCCTCAGGGGATCTTGGAATAGGTATTGTTTGGTTTGGGGAAGAGCAAAGAAGAGCATCTGAGCACCAATTTCCCTAATGCCACCCTGTAGGAGAATGCTGAGATTCAGTTCAGCAACCTCTACCCAAAAAAAGCCCAGCTCCACAAGAGTGTGAGGGGGCAGGAATGGCAAGGTCTTAGCCTCCAGGATCTTATCACATCTCTACCCCCTAACATGGAACCTGTTAGGGACCTACTAGCACCTTGGCAATGTGAAGGGCTCAGCCCAACTTGGGAAACCACACACACACATACACACACAACACACACAACACACACACACACACACACACACACACAGGAGCCAGTTTGGAGGTGGCGATGTTCCCATGTCGATGATGAGGCTGGGTTCCCCTTCCTGACTCTGACATGCCACAAGTTTTGCTTTACGGCACTGATAGAATAACAGCTGGGGTCACAAAGGGGAACACCAACAGTAAAAATGGCATCTTCCAGAAGAACAGAGTCTATCTCACAGGTTACACACAGGCAAGCTGGGACAGAACGGCACAGGGCCACCAATACTCAGCAGCATTCCTAGGGCGCCCTGGGGAGCTGCCATGAGGGATGGGCAGGGCCAAGGATCAACAGGTGAAGAGCCTGTCCATCCAGTCAGGTTAAGGTACTCATTTTCTCAGATGAGCTTCCTGTGTCTTCTAGACCAAGTTCCCTGAGGGGAAAAGCCAGACAGATGGAAGTCAGACAGAAAGAGGAAAGCAAAGAGCATCAGATAGACTGTGAAGAGGCAGCAGGGGTAAAGGAGATGAGCAGGCCAGAAAGCAAGCCTTTTGAATGGGTAAGTCAAAGAGAAAGCTGCCTCCTGAGGAAAAGAGGGGGGGTGGGGTGGGAGGAGACTGAGAAAGCCAGGGCAGACACAGAGCACTGAGACACAGCTGACCTCTCCCAGAAAAGCACTGGAGTCCATGATCTTGGGGAAGAAAAGACCCCAGAGAGAGAGAAAGAAGCCCATGGGACCCTACTGGCCCACGATGGGAGAGTCAAGCCAGTAGCCCTGGCCACAAAGCTACAGGCTGACACTGCGCTGGTGTCGACCCCCTCGGACTCCACCATCACTGCCCCGACGTCCCCGGTTCCGGGGTCCCAGCTCTTGGCCATCTAGACTAGCGTGGTCCGAGAGGCCACGCAAGTGTTCCACTGAGTCACACTTCTGCAGGTCGGAGGCCACAGTGCGCAGGCTCAACAGGCTCAGTGTATCCATGTCAGGGGCGGGGCCAGGCCCCAGGCTGCTGCCCTCCTCCAGTCCCCCACCCTCAGCCCCATCAATCCCGCTGTCCCCATCCTCGATACCCTCAGGCCCAGCTTCAGCCCCCACAGGGGAGGAGCGCTGTGGGCCTGGGGGATGGGGAGGCAGGCCCCTGCGCCGGGCGTGAATCTGCTCACTGATCTGCTCCAGGTTGCGCAGGGCGACTGAGTAGCGGGTCTTAGCCTGTGCCACCTGCTGCTCCAGCTCTGTCACCTTGGCCTTGTGCTCCTGCAGAGAGTGAGACAGGTGTCCCATGAGGCATCTCCCCCCCACACTCAGCACCCTGAAATGAGGGTATCAGGCCTCAAATCCCAGAGCACACCTAGCTGTCCTCAACATCCACCACAGACCAGCAATAGCCTACCGAACAACACTGTCTCCTCTGATTGTCCCTTCTCCAGCAATCCCATTGTTTCTGATCTGAGCCCCACCTTCTAGAGCCTTTCTCTCAGCTCTTCATCCCCACCAACTCCTCCTCTTCTCTTTGTTTCTCTTTATACCTGACTGGTTATTTTCCCCCAGTCCCGGCATTCCACCAATTCTCACCTTTTCTCACTTACTGCCCTTCTTCAACTATGTTCTGTTGGCACAAACCCCTCATCCTTGACTCCCACTCATTCTAAGCACATGTGCCACTGCTCACTGCTGGCTAATCTGGCAGAGGCTTTGCCCAGCCCATCAGGACCAAAGAAACACACCAGCATCCCCTCTACTTGCCCTCCCTTTCTATGACTGCCCCCGTCCTGCACTCCCACCTGCCCATTCCTCTTCCTCCTCTCCCACACAGCTACCTCCAGGATTTGGCTGAACTGGGCCTTGAGCTCAAAGTAGGGGCGGCTCTTGCCAATGGCTCGCCGGAGGGTCTTCTGCAGGGCCTGGACCCGAGCCTCAGCCTGCTGGCACAGCCGTGTCACTCGCTGATGCTCTCGCTCTCCTCGAAGCCGCTCCTCCTCTGCCTCGTTCACCTGGCCCAGGTGGGGTGGGGATACACATCACTGACCTGGAAAGTGTGTTCTACCTGGTATCTGCCCCACGTTGCCAATGTGAACACTGCTCTAACCTGAACAGGAACATCTTCTGCAAACCCTACCCCTGTTGTCTGCAGAGCCTGAGACATGCAGAAGAACAGTGGGTCCATGAGCCTCAGGAGAGCTGAGCTTTTTTTTTTTTTTTTGGCAGTACTAGGGTTTGAACTCAGGGCTTCATGTTTGCTAGGCAGGTGCTCTACCACTTGAGCCATCCCACCAGCCCTTTTTGTGTTGGGTATTTTCCAGATAGGGTCTCACTAACTATTTGCCTGGGCTGGCTTTGAACCGTGATCCTCCTAAGTAGCTAGGATTACAGGCATGAGCCACCAGCTTCTTAACCATCTCTTTTGGACTTGCTGCCTGACCTCCTGGCATGGAAGGACAGGATCTCAAGTACATACCTCTGCAGCTACCTCTTCCCATTGTTCTCCCTCTCATCACCTATACCACCTGCCACTCAGCTTTGCTGATACTAGGAAAAGGGTGCTGAAACCATCTCAATCATTCATGACCACGGAATGAATTTCGGTGAGCACACTGCACATTAGCAGCAGCCACAGTCAGTCCTATGGGAGCTCTTAGTGACAGTGACTAGGAGGGTCAGGGATAGGAGAAGCCCCTGTGTGGGAAGCCACATCCGTGTACTGGGTTCTCCAGATTTCCACACCCTACACATGCAATCAGTACACATGAACAGGAAGCAGGCAAGGGCTTGTCAACCAGGACCAGCAGGCCAACTGTGCTATACTCTAGGCAGAGGCATACCAGAGTCCCATCCAACCAGTAGTTCCATATGACCTCTTACCCACCCACACAGTATTAATGTTCTGTGTTCCATTTGTATGAGCTCCAAAGTAGAAGCTGTCCTGTCAAAAAAAATCAAAAGACAGCCAACTCCTAAGACATGATAGTGGTCCTACATAAGTTGAAGGTGGCAGAATGAACCCTTGTCAGGATCCTCTCATTCCCCAGTCTACTTTCAGGAGCATGGAAATAATATACAAATTATACCTCAGAAAGTTAAGTACACTGGCAGAACTCAAAAGCAGGGAATTTTTATTCTGAAAACATAAGCAAGGAGACACAAGCTAAACCTACAAAATCTGAATGTTACATCCAGAGCATCCACCAGGGATGGAATGTTTGAGCTGACATTCTAAATCACTGGAGATGGAAGTCAAGGATATGGAATATGGGAAGCACTAAAGGACAAATGAGGCAGAGCTGGGAACGGGTTTTGCCTAAAAGAGAATCAAAGCTAAGGGACGGGATGGGCACTGGTGACTCACACCTGTAATCCTAGAGGCAGAGATCAGGAGGATCATAGTTCAAAGCCTGCCCAGGCAAATAGTTCAGAAGACCCTACCTCAAAATATCCAGCACAAAAAAGTTCTGGTGGAGAGGCTCGAGCAGTAGTGTGCCTGCCTAGCAAGCACAAGGCCCCTGAGGTCAAGCCCTAATACCATCAAAAAAAAAAAAAAAAAGCCGAGGAATGACTGTGGTGGAAGGAGAGAAGGTAAGATGACAACGAAATAGCAAAGGCAATACTCGAACCAGTGAAGGGGACCTGCTGGCACCACCCACTTACCTTGCAGGTAGCATGGTTGAGCATCTCCTGCCACGTGGGGTCCAATCGGTTCTTGTCAGCCATGACACCCTGCTCAGCCACAAATACCATCTCTCGGGCAGCATTGTGCATGCTCACAGCCCGCTCATACCGCAATGCTGCCTTCTGTGTCTCCTGCTGGGCCTAGGGGATAGAGGGTCATTAGGACGGGGAGTTCTGGGGGACCTCCAGCCACCCATAAAGACCCACCACAGTGGTGGGGACAAAAGATGGAAGAAGACCCACTTACAATGTCAGCTTCTTTTCCCAAATTTCACTAAGAATAAATGCCATGAAAGGAACTTTCTATAAGAAATATTTCATAAGGATATGAATTAGGAGAAGAGATAAATGCAGAAATAAATATTAAAAAGAATGATACTGCTAATGGATGGCGGGTGTGTGAAATCCAGCACTCTCAAAGACTGCTGGCCTTTTACCTTAGGAAAGTCTAAACCATTTTAGTTGGAAGGTGGTTAGGGACATGGTCTTACAGAAAATATACCTCTGAGATCGTCCAGGTGGTAAGTTGAAGAAAATAACCACTAAGCGCTCAAAGACATTCATCACAGCCATACAGGTTGAGCATCCAAGACTCCAAATCCCAAAATGCTCCAGAATCTGAAACTCTTTAAACGCCAACATAATACCACAATTGAAAACTATATACCCATGAAACTGTATCATGCACAAAATTATTAAAAATATTTGTATAAAATTACCTTCAGGATAGTGTATAGGATATTTATGAAATATAAATGAGGGCTGGTAGAGTGGCTCAAGTGGCAGAGCACCTGCCTAGCAAGTGTGAGGCCCTGAGTTCAAACCCCAGTAGCATAAAAAATATATATATAAATGAATTTCATTTCTATGGATATGCAAATGTTCCAAAATCTGAAAAATATTGAAGTTTGAAATACTTCTGGTCCCAAGTATTTCAGATAAGGGATACCCAAGCAAAAAACTGGAAGCAAACCTGTTTTTAGTTATAGGAAACTAAGTTAATAATAGTGTATCTAATATGACAAAATTTACAGTCTTTTAAAATGACATGGGACTGGGGATGTAACTCAGCTCAGAGGTAAAGCACTTGCCAAGCATGCAGAAGACACTGAGTTTGATCCCAAGCACCACCAAAAAAAAAAAAAGCATATACATATTGACATGGTACTGATGGTACTGTATCATAAGGTTAATAAAGGAACAAAAATAGCACATACTGTATAATCCCATTTTTGCAAAGTATACCAAAGTGATTCTAAAACAGAAAAAAACAAACATAATTATCTGTGATCTATTTTTTGTTTTCTGTATTTTGTAATGCTTTGACATCCAGAGGACTTTGCTACCTAAAAAAAGACTGCCCCTCTCAGGGCTAGCAAATACCTACACATAATCTACTCCTCTGTGAGTTTCATAGGCAAACCAAACCCAAAGCCAACTACCTCTTAACTAACTTATACACACCAAGCCAATATTTTCCCTGTCCCAAATCCTCAGGGCAAGACACTAGACACCTAAGTACCAACCCTATAGCCTAAATCCTACCAAAATTACTCAAACTAAAACCAACTCTAACCTTACTGAAACTTGTCTACCTTGCTTCAGTCATTCCTTCCCAGGAAAACTACAATAAAGGCTCTGAGCTGTGCTTTCTCCTTCACTTTTATCTCCTAACTGACCCTGGTGCTCCCTCGTGTGCCCCAGCACAGCATAGCATGGCATGGAACGGCATGGCATGGCCCTGCCTGAATTCTTTTAAAAACTTCTTTCAAGGCAGCCATCCTCATATGAAACACCTTACCATAAAGGATTAAAACAAATGCTATATAAAATATATAAAACATGTGCACAGTAGGATTTGGAGCAATCTTGGATTTTTGTTTTTTCTACCATCTTCCAATGGTAAACAACATATTATATGTGCAAAGAAGGTAGGAATTAGGGTAAGAGGGAGGGTTTAAAAAAAAAAAAAGATGCAGAAAAGAGGCAGAACCAAAGGGAGAGAGAAGAATCTGGAAACAATGCAAATAGTAGGATGTTAGAGCTGACATATCAGATATACCCTAAAGCCCGATTCCTTACATATGTAAATATTTAAATTAAACATCAACAGGTGAGGGCTGTGGTTATAGCTCAGAGGTACAGTGCTTACCTAGCACTCCTGAGGCCCTTGGTTTGATCCCCAGCACCACAAAAAATAAAAGTAAACATCAGCACAGCTGAAGTAAATTTTCTCGAGCAGACTCTCATGCCTATGCCACACCACTTCCAAGGCCATGAGCCAATTTTCCAGATTTTTAGCCCATAGTAGTAAAGAACTTCCTCAACCCACAGAGCTGGTTCACAGCACTGCTCTGTCCTCAAATCTGGTGCTCTGTCTTACACTCCATGCAAACAGAAAAGTCTAGGGCAGACTCTGCATGCTGCCCACCCTGAATGCGGGTCAGTAAGTCATACCTCCTTAGCCAGCCGCCGGGCCTCATAGTAGGGCCGAGCCTTCTCAATACAGCTCCCCAAATGGGAGCCCTGTGTGTTAAGCTTCCTGGCTGACTCCTGCAGGATCCTCCGATAGGTTGTCCTGGCCTCCTAGCAAAGGAACAGGATATAGGGAAAACAGATATTTGGGTCCCAAACACTCATTTTTCAGGAATGCCCCTTCTACTAGTCTCAATCTCGGAAACATATAGATGGAGACACCCGCAGAGACCAACCCAAGAGTGTAAGGAAAAAGAACCACTCACATCTAGCTGTAGCTCCACCTGGTTAATCTCCTCACTGGCCTGGTTCAGATGCTCCAGCTCCTCCTGCCAAAGACAGCTGGTGAGTTAGAGCAGTGGAAGGAAGTAGCCTCAATCAACTGTGTAGGTTAGAGCAATGCACAGACAAAAAGCCCCAGCTGACCAGGGAAGGGAGGTGAGACACTTGTCCCATGGAAAAGAAATGGAGGAAGGGACTTGTCCAATGCTCCTTATCCAAGATCTAACATACACAATCTCATGTAATCTTCACAATTCTATCTTGTATTGGGTTTTAAAACCCCCATTTTAAAGATAAGGAAATTGAGGTTCAGAGGATGCAATACTAGTATGCACACAGCATGGTGGCAGTGAGCCTTCACTCTCTCCATCAGATTGCATCACTTTCTCCTGCTGGGAAGTCTCCTTGGAGTCGAAGGGCTCGCCTCCAGAGTAGTCTTCCACCCGTCATCCCCTGAGCTAGGAGGGCTATTAACTAAGCACATGTTTACTATATACTTACCACCTCTGAGTATCACGAAACTCCAAAGAACTTAGAATAGACAGGTAGAGGCTCACAACAGTAAGGAAGACCAGCAAGTAAGCAACATATCTTTGGCAGTGATGAAGCTGTATGAGGGGTGGGTATGGATGTCATCTCCCTAGGCAGCAGGCCAGGGCAGGATATCTGGAGCACTTGCTCCCTGGCCAGGGAACTATAATGGACAAGAAGGGCCCCAGGATAGACAAACTGATGACAGCCAGTAAGGTTGGGGCACAAAAGGAAGGAACAAGCCTTTTCTCAATAGCAACAAGAGTCTCTCAGAGCCTCTTGCCCTTAATCTGTGGTTTAGGATGGCAAGTTCGAGAAATTTAAGGAAAGCATGGAAGAACTGGGAAGACAAAAAATAAAAGCTATATACAGTGTTCCAGGTGGGAAAGGAGAGGATAAATTCCCAAGGAAATGCAATACACAGAATCACAAGGGCTTGGTGGATGACAAAGGTCAAAATCAGGGAAGAATACTGGGTTCCAAGAGGCCTGGCTGGGCAATGGGTCACAAGACCCCAGGTCCCAATACAGTCGATCTTGTGGTAGCAAGGGAGTCTCAGAGAGAGACTGGCAGATATGTCAGTTTGAGTGCCTCACTGACCTCTGGGCTAGAGAAAGAAGCAATAGAACATACCCAGAACTTTCTATGAAATGACAGAGAGCTGGGAAGGGTGCTAGCCTTAAGTCATCCTCCCTGGCCCAAGAAAACACATAAGTCCCCAGAATCCCTAGTGAGCTGAGGATACTTTGGAGGAATGCTGATCTGCACCAAGGGCTCTGCCTCAGGAAAGTGCCTGATATTTAATTGCAGACTCCATGGAAGTGATGCTCAGCTATAAGCTCTGCCTCTAGAAGCCTCAGGCTCTGGATAAGCAGGACCCAGTTCAGGGGCTGCCTGCTGCCACATGACTTGTACTCAACAGGAATACCACTATCACGTCCTACTTGTATAGCTGTGACATTGGCTCCCAATCACAGGAACCAGAGAGGGCGTTGGGTTGTCATGCATGATCTCCATTTATTCCTTTTATCCTTTTATTTCTACATACACAGACACACACATACTTTGATTCTGAAAAAAATCGAGTTAGTAAATAAGAAAATAAGAAAGAAGTCATATGCATTCAGTACAGTAAAAGAAAAAATAAAAACACAGAAGTCTATAATGGAACTAGGAATAGAGATATGAAACTGCATACCCACAAAAGTGTAGACTTAAACTCAAGCCCTCAAGCTTGCTAGGAAAGCACTCTACCACCTGAGCCATACCTCCAGCCGTTTCTGCTTTTAGTTTTAGATATGGGCTCACTAACTTTTTCCCCAAGCTGGCCTTGAACCACTATCCTCCTATTTTTGCCTCCCAAGTATCTAGATTATAAGCTGAATGTTGTTTCATTTTCTACAAACCACGTTTTTTAAAAATCAAAAAACAGAGGGCTGCAGTGTATGACTCAAGTGGTAAGAGCCCCTACTTAGGAAGTGCAAGGCCCTGGGTTCAAACCCCAATACTGTCAAAAAAAAAAAAGGTAAAAACCAGGTGAAATTTAAAGAATACATTTCATTTCTCTAATACATCTAAAATATCATTGTAATATACAATCAACATATTTACCACACTTTTACCTTAATAAAAGAAAACACAAAGTCTTCAAAATATACATGGATTTATCTCTTAGGGAACAGTGGCATCTGAATTCATACTGGAGATCTAAGAGTTGGTGCTATTTGGGAACCAGATTAGTCACAGAACTAATGAAACAACAAACCACTCTGGACCCACAGGCAATTGGCACAACCCAGAGGACCCCAGGGGACCCCTAGTAGGCAGCAGCAGCAATACCACCAGACACACAGTACTCAAAGTTTCAGAGTGTCTTCCTGCCAGGGATGTCCCTGTTAGTTGATGGGATCACCCTAGAGGGCTCTAAAAAGGCAATTTCTATCAAGGTGAGAGTCAACATCTTTCCCAGTGGGCCCAGCTTCCTTTGGTTCAATGTGGCCTACAGATATTTCAGGCTATAGGAGAGATGCAAGTCTTTCAACAGCTCCCACAGTAGTATCTTCCTCAGCTTATTTGTAGTAAATAGATGAGAAAAGATGAGGAAGGGGATTTGTGACAGCCAGGGAATTTAGGTCCGGATCTAGGACCCAAGCTTTGATCTCACTTTCCTTCCACTGTGACCACAATCCTAGGATTAAGACTGGCCTTGCATGGATGCCTCAGAAAAGCCAAGAGTGCTGTTAGTTAGGAAAACCACAACCCAGACAGGAAAAAGACAGGTCTCAGGAATGCAATAAACATTATTTTAAGGGAAAAGAAAAAGGGGAAGAACACCCTGCAATGCTCACATGAGCACATCAAGGTCCAAGATTGGATCTCTACTTGTTTACATGGCTCAGAGCGCTCACAGTACCCAAACCCTAGCCTTGACGAGGCAGTCAGAGGAGTGAATGGCTCAATGTAATTTGTCCCCACTGGAAAAATAAAAAGGGCTTTTTCTGTTGACCAGTGGCAAGAGCAGGCATCATTTTTCTATATGGGAACTAGTACCTCAATGGCTCCTCCTGCAATTAAAGAAAATCACCTAATGCCAAGCATGGTGGCAAACACCTGTGGTCCCAGCCATTAGGAAGCTGAGGCAGGAAGATCAAAAGTTCGAGTCAGCCTGAGCTACATGGTGAGACCTGTCTCATAAAACAAACAAACAAAAAACATGTCTACTGATGGTCTACCTGGTGGGCTCTCAAAACAAGAGGCTAGGGAACAGGGAAGAAAAGCAGCCTCAAGGCCAGGGTAAGCGTGGGAGAAAAGGGGAAACAACTTCACTGGAGCATACCCAAGGCAAGTCTAAGTGGGAAGCCACTGAGCATGCAGGGTGAAGTTGACAACACATTCCATTTGGTTTGCTCCACGAGGGACTCCTGGCATTCAGCTAAAATGGAATTCAGGGAGGACAAAGTCTGAGTCAGCATCCATCATCCATTAGTGAGCCAGCAAGGAGGGTGACCTTCCTGGGGCATGATGGGTGCATTCCCAGAATACCAGGCCACTAAGTCAAAGGCCTGGGCATTTAAGCTATAGATGCTCCACCCCACCTGTGGACACTTCTGGTCCCCTGCCACAGAACGTCAAAAGGCTCAGTAAGATGGTCAGTAAGAGCCAATGACTATTCTTTGAGAACTAAGGTGAGGACACAGAGGTTGCATGGTCACCCTGAAGACTCTAGAAAGGAGCAGTTAAGTGAGAAAAGAATGTGCCCATCACAAATGAGGCAGAGAAAAATGCAGGGAATAGACCCAGGCCTACCCTAGTACCATCATTTCTCCCTTCCTTCCACTGCGACCCTCTCTTAAAAAGCTGGAAGACTTGGAGAACTCCAATGAGATCTCAACATGAACACAAAGCCAGTGGCCTTCCCTGAAGAGGTAGAATATACAGGGACATACCAGGTAGCCTCCTTCCAACTTTCAGAGGGATCCCACCAGAAAATGGGCGTAAGTTTCCTGCCTGCCAAGGAACTCCAGCCCCACATCAGAGAGCCTCACCCTGAGAAGAGTCATTTCTGGGAACTTCAGTAAATACCAAACCAAATCTTTGGGATATCCTTAGCCCATTGGACTCAGCCCTGGCTGTGCATTAGAAACATTTCTTACCCCACCCAGACCAAGTGAATCCAAATGCATACCAAATGTTTTTAAAAGTCCCTGGTGGGTTTTAATGGATCTGTGGGTGGACCCACAAAATGCATGAGAATTCAGAAAAATAGACGCTCATTGAAAGCACTGAGACACATTATGAAGGCAATGTGGTCTGATGTACTGTCAACACTAAAATGGACCCTAAAAAACAAATGCCCTCATCTCCTCCCTATCAAGAAAAGGAGTCCAAACACAGAAAGGAAAAGTGGTCCTTACACCTGGCTGCCTCTCCTACGCAGCAAAACGTTATATTCCACTGGAGTCATGGCTCAAATGGTAGAGCACCCACCTAGCAAGCACCAAGCCCTGAGTTCAAACTCCAGGGCTACCAAAGACACTAGACCCCTGCTGAGGATAGAGTACTGCCTAACTACCCATATCATCCAATGTTGGAGAACACTGCAAGCCCTTCCCTCCCTATGGAACTTATAATGTTCACAGCATGCTGCACAGCTTAGCAAGAGAAACTAGGGTTTGTTTTGTCCCCTCTTGTACAAGTGACAGTGCAAGCTCACTGGAGGGAGAGTGCATCCTAAGACTCCTCAGGATACTCCAACCCTGTGAAAGCTCATCCTATAGAACTGTCTGTGACGACAGAAATGTTCTATTTCTGCACTGTCAGTACAGTACAGTACAGGAAAACTGTATTTTTTACTTTATTTTAATTAATTTCATTTATAAAGCCACATGGTGGCTACCTTTTGGGGCAGTGCAATGCAAGTGTCATTCTTCATTCTACCCCCTTTGCCTATGTGGATATTGGGAAAAATATACAGAAGCAGGAGAGTCCAAGCATAGAAACCAGACTGGATTCTCTTTTGGAAAGGCCTCCTCTGGAGAAGAACAAGAAATATTCGGGGAGGTATAGGTGCTCTACTGAGAATCTTCCTCAGGGAACAGAGAAAGATCTCTTTTCCAAAGCACTATTTATAAACTTTGAACAAGAAACAAGCAAAAGAAGTTGTGAAAGAAAAGAATCATAGACCTGGGCTAGGGTGTGGCTCAAGTGTAGAGCACCTGCACAGCAAGTACAAGGCCAAGTTCAAGTCCCAGGACCACAGGGATAAAAAGAAAAAACAACAGACATGGAACACAGTGAAGATGACTTGTGCAAATCAACTAAACTTCTCACTTTGCATATGAAGAAACTGAACCTTGGATTTCATAAAAATCACAAATCATGAGGCTGGAGACTTGAACATAGTTCAAGGCTTTAGCATTGCAACTTATTTCCTCAGTGGACAACAAATTAGTAGCATTAGCAAGAGAAACTGAACTGTTCTCAATGTAGTGCCCATAAGGCACAACAGAAATAAATTATTGACTCATGCCAGAAATGAACAGTTCACTAATGCTCCATTACAAACAGGCACACGGTCCCAGAGAAGCCCCATACCCCCATACCCTGAGAACTCACACACCAAGATAGCCACATCAGGACTGTCTTTGATTTATTCACAACTCACTGGAGTAATCCAATAAAGGTTTGGTGATAGAGAAGCCTGTGAATTAGAGCCCCGGGATGCTCTCGCTTACCTAGAGATGGTTAAGTAACTTCCCCAGTATCAAAATCTTAAGAGATGCAACTCGACCAAATGGCAGACTTGGGACCCAAACACACAAGGGCATCCTAGCAACTTCCCCAGGGAGCCCTGAAACACTACAACTCAGCTTTAGTTGGCCAATCATCTCCTCCACCCAAGGCCCCAGTCCCTACACAATGATCTGTCCTACCAACTGTTATAAACACTCTAAGGCAATCAACTGCTCCTCTGTTCTTTGGTATATCTAGCATCCTGAACCACGAATATGTATTAAGGACTGACTACAACTGATATAAACTTGAACAAATAAAATTTCCTTACAGGCCTAAATTTGATGCCACCTGGAAGGTTTCACAGCTTACAGACATGTATGCCACTGGGAAGCAGCATCAAAATTGTCTACTAATTTCAAAGTCACTACCTTTCACTTCAAAAACAAGTAACACCTCTGAGGTAGCAGCCCTTCTGCTTATTTTGAACGGAGCATTAACTGTTGTATCCTCTATTGACCTAAAGTGCACTGCCAATTTGGCACTTGACTTCTATCAGCGAACTTCACCACAATAGGCATTCTCAGGCACCCAGACATTCCCATCAGACACACGACTCTTTTACCTGTCACACGATATTGCAACAGCTTGTTGACAAATTTGTTTTCCCACCCTTGTTTACTGAGGAGAGAATAAATCTAAGCTTTAATTCATCTGACAGCTTTTCAGGAAATCTGGAATCTGGGCTCTCTTTCTCTCCCTCTACTTGGTCTTCTCACCTGTATTCTAGGATCCAATTCTTCCTCCTCTCTTGGGGACAATTTGGACTCACTACTGCTGCTTCCACCTCCTCCAGGCTCCTCTGCAACTTGGGGCCTAGGGACTTCATCCTCTACAAGCTCTGGGCACAGTTCCCCCTGTGGGGTCTCCCGCCCCCCTGGAACCTGTCGGAACTCAGCCATTCTGGCCAGGAGAGGGCAAAGCCCTATGCATGAGACAGGACTGACATGGCTGGGACCAGGACCCCAACCTGAGATTTCCTGCGCTTTAGATGGCAAAGATAAGGGATTTTTCTTCTCAAAAGGTAGAAAAAAAAAGGGGGAAAAACCTCACAGTCAGAGGCTGAGATTCAAATTGTTTGTGAGGTTCCTAAAACCAAAGCCTTGTCTGGGCAAAAGTTCTTCCCTCTCCAACACAGGGACTCCACCAAGAGGGACCCAGAGCAACAGCTCCAAAACAGTGGGCAAAGGAGGCCTGGATCCTGGGCCAAGGCCTGCGAAGGGGAGCACCATTCGGGAGGGTGGCCTCCAGGCTGTGAAGGGAGGTGGAGAGAGAAAGCTGGACCACAGCAGAGGCTTCGGAATGAGCGTCTTTGGGGAACTGCTGGGAAAACAGAAGTCAAGTTATATGGTCATGTCAGCATCAGAAACTTGGCCACAGCTCCTTCCAACCCCTCAGTCTCCTAAGGACTCCACTTTAGTCCCCCCCCACTCGACCAACCCCCACCTCAACTTCTTTTCTCAGCCCTCAAAGACTTTACTCAGACTCCTTCCTCTCAACCCAGCTCCTCCCCAAGCAGCACCTCCAGACTTCCCTCCCTTTCCTCGTATTCCCCTGCTCTTCTTTCCGCCCCACTCCACCCCCTGCTGGCTTTGCAATTCACCTTGTAACCCCCAGCCTCGCCCCACCTACTCTCCTCTCACGAACACTGCGGACAACTTTAGCCTCCTGTTTCCAATCCCGCACTTTTCTACAATCCCCAGGACTATGCCATAGTCAGGTGCACAAAATCCTCTTCACAGACTTACCTCGGTTTACCTTTCCATGTGCAGAGCTTCTAAGCAGCAAACAATCTTCCCCCTCCCTCACTGCAACAAGCCGGTCCAACCAAAAACTACGCGGCTGAGAGGAAACGGAAATACGTCACCAGGTAACAAAACCCTCCCTCCCACCCTCGCTAGAAAGCCAGGCCAAGGGACCCGCAGTCCCGCCCGACCTTTCCGTTTCCGTACAAAATCGGTGCCCCGTGATATTCACCATAGCCTTACAATGCTTCCAGCCCATCCATCGCCAAGGCTGAAAAAAAGAAAAACGTGAACGTGTGGTTCTAAGGAGACGGACAGTGCCTCTTGAGTGGAGAAGTGCTACAAATAAAACTGAAGTTACACAATAACGTCAGAGAACGTACTGCCATTTTGCTTTACGGTACTCAAGCGCGGGCTGTAGGAAAGTCACGTCCAGCGTGGGCTGGCGCGCCGAAAATGAGCTCTGAGCTTCTGGCTGCGACGGAACTGGTGACGGGGATCCAGGGACTGTGTTGTTGACACGGAAAGTCGTTCTGCAGATTTGATTTTTCTCAGTCTGAGAGCCAGTGGGATTATTAGTAACCGCGTCTAAGCAAACAGCTCCAGTGGGTAAATCTTGAGGTCTTTAGCCGGTGCCATCGCCGCGGCTTTGGTGCTCTTTCTTCAGTTAGCCGGTCTCACCCTGAACGTCGGTGAGGAAGCCAGTCTGTGAATACTAATTAGAAACGTAGATATTGTTAACTCAATGTAGTCGTGCTCTAATGCTCTTGAGGAGGAGGCGTTTTTTATATTATCAGTATATCACTACCTAACCTCAGTAAGTGGGCGACCTGGTTGCCACTTCTAGTTATTGTTCTGCATAGACCGAGGTCTATAGGGGAAGGTGGGGTAAGACGTTTTGTTTTTACAAACAGCCTAACTTCCTCAGAGCCAGTTCAAGGTTTTCCCTGGAAATGAAGCAAGCCAATGGGCTAAATTCTCCCCCTTCCGTTTGAATCCTATCAAATATAAACATAGCCAGACATTAATTAAGGTGGTGAAAAACAGATTTTTAGTAGTTGCTTACAATCAGGAAAGAGCTGAGCTCCATTTATTTGTACAGAGGAATTTAGGCATTTTAAGAGGAAAGGAAATGGGGGAGGAAAAATGGGGTCTCAATATAATCAGAGAAGTGAAAATGACAATTGGTCAGTACAAATGCGATTGGGTCAGTTTTATCTGCTAGCTGGCAATTATGGATGTTAAAGTTCTGTCCCCTGTCAAAAAGGACTCAGTGATACTTGTTAGAGAACAGTAAGAGACTATTCGGGACCATGAAGATAGGTATAGGGACCATTGCAGTGGGGGAGGGAAATTGGGCTCAACTCCAGGTACAGTTTGGCAAGGGGGACTTTATAGCCAAGGAATTAGAAAATTACCCAGAAGAAACAGCAGGGGTAATGGTGGATGGCTAAACAAACCTAACAGGATTCTTGCTGAAGACAGGCCTGGGGGATGATAAAGGATGAGGAGACTGACCAGATATCCAGGATGGGGGAGGGGGTGTTCTTGGTAAACTGACTTAAATTTCTTTGCTAAAACTAGATTTTACAAGCTATTCGGGTAGGCCTACAAGAAGGTTCAGAAGCCTAACTCAAGTCTGAGGGAACAGAATCTTTGTCATCTCTCTGGAAGATGGGGAGATAGAGGCCCTGTCCTTCCTAATGGTTACATTTCAAAGGAATGACTCTCTGACCCTTCAGGAGGATACTCCTGAGTTGTAAGAGATACATATATATCTTAAAAGGATGAAAGAAAGATTCCTACTGGTAGGCCCCTTTTAGTAAATGCTCCAAGATAAGGATGCTGGCCAGAACAAATAGTAAATTCTTCTGGCAGCATTGTGCTTTCTCAGGCAGGCATTTTAACAGGGGAGAAGGAGTGAGAGTCATGACCATTGCTGCTAGAAGCCATGCTAGAATTTGGTTGTCTCTTTGTACAGAAATTTGGATGTAGGCATTCTATGCCAAGAGTTCTGCAGTTCTTGGTTCCCACCTTCTATCCCCTAACCCTATGAATTAACCACATTAAAAAAAAGGGGTGGGGGGGCTGGAAAGTAACCCCATGGTAAAGTACTTGTGTAGCATGCATGACATCCAGAGTTTGAGTTCCAGAATCGGCTGGGCAAAGGGGGATGCATTAGAGAAAGGGTAGAGCAGAATATACTCCTTTTAAAAAGAAAATTTTAAAACGAGAGGTTTTTCCATAAAATTGGAATTTCTAGTTTTAAAATTCCAGAAGTGACTTTCCTCATTTCAGTAAGTCAGCAGGACCTTAACTCTGAATGGACAGTTCTAACATACAGCATCTCATAACCATTCCTTTTTGTTATTAAGGTGCCACACAAAAACCATGAAAATTACATTCAGAAATCATAAACATAATTAATTTGTTCTTTACTACTATAATTTTGTATAACTGTAATTTCACTGGAATGACTGCATTTTACCTACTATCTCTTGTCTACCCTAACCCAAATTCTTCAACCTTTTTTGTTCAGCACTAACCCACTGCCTATTATCCAATACCTGTCTATCCAATCTACAGCTCTTGTTATCTGTGCATTCATTTATCCTTAGCAAAAGCACACTGTATTTGTCACAGATCTTTGTTGGGAAAAATTATAGACTCCCCTAGATTCTGCAGCGTTTCAGCCTTTTTTTTTTTTTTTTAATTTTTTTGGCTATCCTGGGGGTTGAACTCAGGGCTTCAGGCTTGCTAGGCAAAGACTCTACCACTTGAGCCACACTTCCACTCCTTTTTGGTTATAGTTTGTTTTTCAGACAGTCTCTCACCTCTCACTAAGTTTGTTGAGGTTAGCCTCCAGTTGCCATCCTCCTGTCTCTTCCTTCCTACGTGGGATTACAGTTTATGCCCTCTGCAGCCTTCTTGATTGTCTCACTGGCCTCACAGAGTTAACACTTGCTCACTCAGACCAAATTTGATTTTTTCATCATATATGTATTATAATTCCCCAGTGGTTTTTCTGCTGGGTTTGAGTAATGTTTCAGGTAAAAAGAAGTTGAGGGTACTGTACACTGATTTAACTTAGGCTTGTTTTATTAAAACCAATATAAACATGATGAATTAAAACTTTTCAGGAACAGCACTGTCCTGCAGACCTTTCTGTAAAGAAGGAAATGTTCCATGTCATTTATTTCTAGAGAATAAATCCTTTCTGTATAGTATGGTAGTATGTAGCCATGTATGGCCATTGAGCACTTGAAATGGAGCTAGTACAATTAGGAAAATATATTTTTATTTAAATAGCCAGGAATGGCTAGTGTTTCCACTATTGGACAGTTCTGTCTATATAGCATTTACCATATAATCTCTTTTAAGTACATATTGAACTTTGGCATTTTCAGTACAGAACAAGTATCTCTCAATATCCACTGTCATTTGTCACATCTCCACCTCTTTACCTCTGCAAAGGGTCTCTACCTTCATAGAAATACATTTGTATGGATTGGCAGGAGATGCCAATTCATGGAAACTGCAGCAATAAAGTCATGCAGCCTGAATATAGCCATCTGACAGGGTTATTTCTCTCTTCTTTCTTATCCTTTACCTTCTCAGTCCTTTATCACCTGTCTTTCGGGTTTCCTTTTTTGTAGCCAGATGACTCATTCCTTCGTGTACTATGTCTTTACTGAGTTTCTATTATGTGCCATAATTTCATGCAATGATGAGAAAAAGACTATACCAGTTCCCATGCAGTTCATAGTGTGTAGTGCTCATTTTTAAAACTGATAACATCCAAACTAATTGGGATACAACCCAGAAATATATTATCCTTACAGTCCATTACAGACATGTATGTGTGCACATAAATTCATAAAACGTTTCAGGAGATGATCTTTATCCAAATGTGCAAAGGATATAAATTTTTTACACTATTTTTCATGCTGATGGAAACCCAGTTTGTTGATTTCATAACCTATTCACAGTGTGAGAATCCTGTCCTAAATATCAGTGTTCCCTAGGCCCTGATATTAGCTTCTAAGTACCTCATGATGTGTGCTTTCCAAGTG